TTCCGTGGATGTCAATTTTATTCTCACCATGTATTGCAGTCTTTCTGAATTATGTCCCCAGGGTGATATACTCTTTTGTTCACCAAACAGGAACACTCTTCAGCCGTGACACACTTATCTCCTTCAATTTCCAGATATAAATCTTCAGGACACTGACAGCCACGGACACAGGTGTCTGGACAGTCCAGGTCTTGACCGTAGTTAAGAGAAGCGCAGGTCCTTGGACAGGCTGATCCACAATCTTTGTAGATCTGACCACCAGGGCATGATTTCTCTGAATCAAGAACAAATAATGGGAATTAGGCCTGTACTTGTAAGATTTCTTCTCTTAGTAAAGGAAAGTCTGTGGATCAAATTGAACGAATTCATAATGCCATGTTGCCTAAGTTTCCAAGGTTGACTAGTACAAAACGACATCGTTTAATTAAGTCTTTAAAAAGCCAAAAATACTGAAGGTAAATCCAAAGACAGAACTATGCCAAACTGTACTTACCGCAGAAGCCATCTTCCCTCCAGTAAATGGCAATGCCTAGACTAGCGCATTCACGTACATAGGCCTCCAATGATGAACACAGAACCGCCCGATTATCAGGATCATGTAAGCAAAGATCATACAGGCATGCATCGTGGTAAAGCCCAGGATCAACCTGAAATTCAGAAATGAGCATTCTGCTGATTGAAGCAGACAAGTGAATGACAAGCAAGCATCCCAAGCAATGAGCTACGTCAGTAATCCGTCAACCACAAGCGTCCAAGCAAGAGAAAAAATAACCGAAACTGAAACCAAGTGACCGATAAATCGATGGATCTATAACTCATGCAATGAGCGAATCAAGCCACTATGAACCTGCAGATTACAAACGGAGAATGGCTCTTCTCTCAACCGATCACAGTGCTTCAGCGCATCATCTAGGTAATCTTCGTATTGCTGACAGGGATGACTCGATGGTGAAACTGTCTCTGCACATGCCTGCAAATGGATTGAAGTTAGCAGGTGCAAATTCATTAGTTTAGCAGTAAGACGTCTGTGGTAAGTAAGCTAAGCTAGGGGACAAGACTATTTTGTCCACACAACATTGCAGAAGCGGGACTACGAAGAGTAAACGAGAGTAAATATATTTAATTGGTTTGCTTTGCCATTGGAAATTGATTGACCGTTTTACCTCTTCGTCTTCAACAGACCAACTTTGTCCAAAGGCAATCGGATTTAAAGCAATGCTTCCATTCCTAGTCGTCAAATCATCTGCAAGATTGATTGATAAGTATATAACAACTTAGCTACAACCAAATTGTAAATTTCACAGAAATATAGATTTTAAGTGATTTTACATCAGCTTTACGGAGAAACTTTATTTCTACTTCTGATTCAAAGGCCAAAGATGCAATCTCTTTGTAAAGAATATTTGTATTCTTCAAAACATTTTTTGTTTTTGTTGTTGCAAGGAATTAGACTGACGTACTCTCTGGACTGCCGTCATAGTTACCACACAAGCCAGTAACGGACGCCATTAACTCTTCATTTAGTGTGACGTACACGGTGGATTCGTTGTCAAACTTGCTTCTCCAACCAGATCCCGAGTCAAGATAAAAGAAATCACCCTCCTTCTCTATGAAGATGTCTGGAAAATTAAAGTTCGCCCCACAAAAAACGACTGATGAGATTCGTTTCCTTCAGTGCAATAAAGGGTGTAAAGATCTGGGAGGACATTTTCAGATACTGTATAAAAGAGGCATAATATTATTATGACACTGACAATATGAAATATTGAGAAATTGAGAATTATTAACCTTTAGTCTGAAACGGGATGGATTCAACGATTTTGCGATTGAATGCCATCATTCCTCCTTCGGTTTCCAAGATGTCTTGGCCAAGCTGAAACTTTAAACGCTGAGAATTGAAATAAAAGTAATTAAATAGCACGTGAGTCACCAAGCAGTCGTCATTGTAAAGGCAATTTGCTGTTATCAGTACTCGAAGGCGAAACTGACGATTGAAATAATAATAAACATGGAATTATACAGTAGTAGAATCTTCACTCAAACTGAAACAAAGTATGTGATCTAAGTCGTTCTCCACATTCACCTTTTTGCAAGTCTCAGGGTTATCGCATTCCATGTTACTGACATGAATGCTCCAAGTGCCTTCAACATCTGCAGACAGTGCGTACGTGCAGCCCCCCTCGAAGTCAAACCTTCGACCGTCATAAGTGCGGTAGTGACTTGTACCCCACATCATGCAAGTTGCGAAAGGCGGACGAAAGTCAACTACAATTTCACAAAATATTTCAACTTTCGTTAGCAGAGTGGCTGGTAAAGATGCAAAGATATTTTGTGTCTGGATAGTGCTCAGAAGGCAGTGACCTCTAGGAGAAAGTGCCACCCTGTCTTCCATAAGAGTTGCGAGCTGTAATTTTCAGAGAATGATATTGCCTACTGAAAATGACAAATTCAAGCTCATACCTTCATCAAAACCTTCCGAGTAGTGGTCATTCTCATCTAAAGACAACAACAATAAAATCTAATTATTCAAATTGGGTTCAAAAGTTAAAAAAATTTGACTATCAATATATATGACATGTCTCAATGGTTGAAGATGTACTTCAATAAAACCCACCACAGTGGATCGCTAATGAATAAATAGAAAACGAAGCAATTCCTGGAATTACTTGTTCAATCTTTATGAAAATCGCAGTTATTATGTAGGTAAAGGGCGACTTACCAAACCGGTCTTCACACTGGTCACCTTTAAACCCCTCTGGGCATGCGCACTTGTTTGGCGCAACGCAGGTGCCTGAATTCTTGCAGCCAATATTGCAAATTGCTGAGTCAATAAAGAGGATGGATCAAAGTCTACATTAAATCCAATTATATTTCCGGGGTGAACGTTGATGACTTTTTCTAACAGCAAAATGAAGCATTCCAGATATTCCCCTTTCTTCAAATCCAATGGCTGCATGGGGTCTAAATGTCGTGATTTTAAAAATAATTACTCAGAACTTAATTTTGGATTTTTGTCCTGCCTGACGTGTAATCCAAAATTAATTAACTTCTCACCGACGCAAATCCATCCCTAGAAATACTTTAAACTTCTTTTCTAGTTTTACCTCGATCACAGAGCATTCCTTCCCATCCCTCGCAGCATTTTCTTCGTGCTGTTTCCTCAACTTCGACAAATTTCTGGGAAGCTGGTCTATTAACCAGATACAAATCATCGGAAAGTAAAGTGTATTTCATAAACAAATATCTTGAGCAAAATAAACAAGAAGTCTGAAAGGTTTGCTTTGTATGTTGACACTCAGGGAACTACAAGGTTTTTCCCGAAACGGGAAGAAATCACTGCTTTTCAATTAATAAATTTCATTATTGTTAATTAAAATGCTGAAATTCCTTGAAATTACACAAATAAATGTTTCATTTAAACGTCTTTGTACTTTGCTCGAGAATATTTTAATCTTTCGTATTGCGTCAAATTAAATAGGGAAATAGTTTTGGAGTTACAGTTTAGACATTTTTAAAAGGCGTCGGTGGTGAAAATCAAGTATTCAAATTCATAGTTTGACGTCAGTATAAAGTGTCTCAACAGTGAACCTTTGAGTTGTATCCTATAAGCGCTTACAAAAATAACAGCTGGAGGAAAGTTATCATGTACGTACAGTGGCCCCTTAATCAAAGAGAGAACACGGTCTCTTGACATCTTGTTTAGACTTACTTATAAACCGAGCAGTTTGCAGTAGGATCCTCCTTAACAATGCCCACTGTCGTTTCGTCATCCAGTAGGAACCCGAGGGCGAAGTACTGATTAACCTCCTGGCAGGGTATAGTTAAGTTCTGCCGGGAAACCTGCACTGTCCTATCCTTGGTTACCGTATCATCGCAGAAATGAGTTCTAGGTATGACAAAATTTAGTTTCGGAGCAGTAACTGAGCGTGAAAAGTCTATCCTAAGAACCAAAAGCCTCACTCACCTAACACAGGAGCAGACACACTAGAGGACTTAAAGAACACAACTATATCCGCATTGAAATTACCATTTTAGCTGATAATCTGAACTTAAAAAAAACTTTAAGAAAACAAGAACTGCTTCAAGTCCACACTTAACACGGAGTCGGTAATTAGTGATAATTATGCACGCGCTCCATGAATCCAGAAATCTGCGAAAAACAACTGAAATTGCTGTAGTTTAAATCTTATTAAGTAGACATAGAATACTAAAATGAAAAGGTTTTTCTTCCAAACTGCCGGTTTGATTCCAATTTAATTTAAAATTTAAAAAAAGGAACTCACATTTGTTGGGCAGCTACGTCATAGTAAATGAGAACATGTAACACCAAAAGAAGAAAATTTAGAATTGCCATCCCTTCACCACGACGCCAAAAGCAGAAATGAAGCAACCACCAGCCAATACCCGTACCAAAATTATTTTCATCGATTACTTCATTTTGAGATCTTGTAGAAGATCCTTTTTAAAATGCATTTGTTACCTTGGCAAAATCCTGTTATTTAACTGTTAACAGAAACCCACAAGTAACAGCTTGACATCACGACTAGCTTTCTATATGACGGCATTGATAAGGTTGATTATCTTGACAATAGCAAAGGCCGCTTTAAGCATTAAGAAGGAATGTTACACGCTGACACGCGTTGAGTCAGAAATTTAATAGACGAAGGATTGTGAAAATTGCTAATAAATATCGATATGAAGAGGACACCAGCTTGCGCTAAGCATCGTTTCCAAGATGTGTTTTTTATTCATGCGAATGTAAATTAATGTGAATGACACGCAAAAGACAAAACGTTCTGACAAGGCTAAAACGACCTTTCTTAAATTTAAGCTGGGATGCCATGAATAAACAGTGGGTGGGCATTTCCTTTAACATGGCAGATGTCTAACTTCTTTTTATTTTTTATTTATGCTATCTTTATAATAGGGTAAAAGAGGATGCTCCGGAAGCCGAGTATGTCGCTTTGCTATTTATTTCTCTATTCAAAGCTAATTGATATTAACTGGTGAGTTAGATTACAAAGGAAAAGTCCTTGTTTATCAAGTAAGAACAGGTAATTAAAAAAACAATTAGTAACTTTTCCGGTGTGGATTGTGGAAGTAATTTGTTTTAATGTCTTATTGTTCTAGAGTACACATTTCTCTAGGCACAGAATCTTTGTTACCTAAGCTTATCATGGCCTATAAATACACTGTATTCCTTGAACCGACTCACACTTACTTGTTGTAAACCAGTCACAGAATTTCTCAAATTACTCCAATATTCAGCTGATTGCTATCAGCATTTTCATCACTATAGGAAACGGAGAAAACCACTCAACAAACTAACCCACCCTCTTATGTATAGCAGTAACAATGGTCAATTGTCTTTAATACACACTTACTTTAAACTTTATATTACATCAAATTAACCGCAGAAGAGGTAAAAGACATAGCATATCAACGTGTCCCAACAAGAGCACGTTAATGTCATAAGTCCATGCCTAAGATTTACAGCATCTTCAGATCAACACAAAATTGGCATTTCATTAAGGGGTATTCCTCCATCGGCATCTAACCATGTATCTGAAAACGTCCTTGAAATCTGGGTGCGACGCTGCGTAGATGATCGGATCAATGATACAGTTACAGTACACAATAGCAAAGATGTAAGGCGTCATTCGAATGCTCCAGTCATATCCCAATGGCAAGAGAGAAAACAAGAAGAGAAACAAACAAACCATAAATGTACAAACAACGTAGACTAAGTTTTTAGTAACTATGATTTGCCTTTTCCAAAGAGTCTTTTGTATGGACGTGTTTGAGCCGCTCACAAAGCTTGAGACAGTGTTAACTTCGTGTTGGACCATGCGACGGGATGTCTTGACCATGTACCGGAAAATCGAACCGTAGCAAAACGTAATGATGATGAGTTGGATGGGAGCATAGAAGACTCCTACAATAATGTTGTGGTGGAAAGACTTAGGGTTGGCTTTAACCCAGGCGCAAAAGCTATATCGAGGTTCGTAGCCAAGTTCACCAAACCCAGCCAGTGGTGGGACTAGGGTCACGCAAAGAGGCATCAGCCACGAGAATACCAACATCAGGGTGATTTTACGCCAAGTGTAAATACGATGAGCAACGATGCGTGGTCTGGTGATTCGTACCCATCGATTGATGGCTATGAGGGCCAAATTCGTCGAGCTGCAACCCGTGCTGAGAATGATGAAGACACTAGTCATCACACACAGCCAGTAAGCGTGTGGGAGCGGCCAGCCATCTTCACTCAATACAGCCATAGCCTCAATAGGGAGAAGCGCACAAGTTATCAAATCGCTAATACTGAGGTTTATCACAAAAGCATTGGCGACTGTACGTAGTTTCTTCGACAGTGGCACGGCCAGGATGACCATTGCGTTACCAACAAGTCCAACGACGGCTAAGGTAATACTCAATGCCGCAAATATCTGCCTCATGAAATAGGACGTATACACCATAAATGCTGGTTCAGTTGTCTGAACAAAAGTTTCACTCAGTGTCGAATTCTCCATAGTTGAAGAGGTAGAAAGGCGCTGACATAGAACGCAAAATGTCCTGAGATTGATAGATTAATGAAATTGAAATGGAAAGAGACAAATCTCGTGATTAAACCTGATTATCTAATGATGTTTCACAGTCTAAACACACCCTAGCCCCGGGCGTCCCTCTTTACAGTCAGCATCGGTATAACACGTGCATTGAATAAGCTTGTAGCAATAAAAACTAACGAAATGGAGGTGGAACATTAACGTATCACAGCAACACTCAGCAACCGCACTACGGAAGTGAAATACTGTAGCCAAGCTTTCTGTAATGAATTCTAAACACACACACTCAAATACACTTTACCGTACGTGCAATCTACAAAGACCAAATAAGGTGACTTAGTCAAAGATTGTCAAAGTACAAGAAAGGGTCGTTTCAACAGCCTTCTAGCTCATTGGTCATCTAACATCAACATTTCCTAGATCCAATTTACATTGAAGTGAGACAAATGGCTGACACTTCGGGTAAATGTGTTGGTTACTGAGTCAAGTTCAAGTACCACTGCCACATCTTTCTATTGACCTCATGTTGCCGAGAGATAGAAACGTGTTTTTCACTCCTACAAACTTACTTCCTGTGATGTCAACATTAGCCTTTCCTAGCGATCAGCAATCCTCGCCTAACATAGCCGTTGCCTCCCAGGCCCAACAGAAAAATGTGCGAGATATTAAACTCGCTCAAAGTGAGAGTATTAACGAACATGTTGGTAACAATACGCAGTTACCTGGACAGCGTTACCAAAATGGCCGATGATTGGTACCACGATGCAAAGAGGTGCAAAATTTGCCTCTCTTAATGCATAGGTTTGCACTCCCCGGCAAAAGACAGTTAACCTGGTGCTGTACATGCATAGGTCTAGGCCTATACACTTCATAGCCATTGTATGACGACTTACAAATCAGCTGTCGCCGTTTACTAAAAGACAAACTCCTGTTGTCCGACAGGACTAAGTTCAAAAAGTTGCAGCAGGTTGACAATCATTCGACGTAGCCATGTTTCGAGTTGCGATCCAAGGAAAATTACAAATTTCTTTACTAAAGTGAGTCTGAAGCGTTTTTCACCGAGGTGGAAGTAAGGAAAGCGGAGATGAACAGGAAGGGATAAGTTCTGATGCCTTTTGACACATTACAAGTTGCTTACAACATTACCCACACACACCAAAATCTTGATTGCTGATATTTTATTCAGGTTACTGAAGTGACTCTACAGAAGAGATACAGATGTAGAAATCATTCACCTGATAGTAAGAATCACCAACTGAGTCATTGAATGAAAACCTGCCTATGAGACGTCATACACATTAGGTTCTCAGGAGTGAGACCGCATCTGCATGACTTAGATGCAAGGAGAAAACAGGTCCAAGGACAAAAATTGTAGCAGCTAAACACTGCCCTCCATAGTCACGTGTGTTAAACCTTGCCGTAGCCAAGTCATTCGGACAAGGTTAAGGTCTACAAATTATTGCCGCTACCAAGGATCGATTGAATATCATTTCTATCATGAAGTTCAGCTGAAAATGAACTTACACAAATAAAGCTCAATTAATCTGGCACGTTCTGTTCAATTTTCGTACTTCAACAAGTACATGCAAATGGTACGTCTTTCTTCACTCCGTCTAGAGAGTACATTTGGAGACCATCATTATCAAACATAATGTTTTTTTGTCTTGCCCGAAATTTATAATCCATACACTTGTAAGATTTAAAATAAAATGTAGATTGGGCATGAAACTGTTAACTGTGCTCTAAGCCAAGCTAAAAAAAAAATATATAAAAAAAATATTGGAATAAAATACAATAATTTTCATACATTTATTACTCATGCATATACAGTCAGGATTTAAATTTAAGGTAACTAAGAACAAAGTTCTGCGATAATGATCAAAATGCTTTCAAATAATTTCTCACGTTACATCACGGAACTAAACAACTTTATTCCAACAAATCTAAATAGAAGAATTTTTTACTAAGAATTTGACCGTAGTCAATGCAACACAGTCACTCCCTTCCTCTTCATCAGTTGTCTCTCAGAGAACAGGAACAGTAGCTTGAGGCACTAAATTAAACCAAAAAAGTGTAAGAAAGGACTTTTTATTCAATAAAAACCGAATTCTGGAAGCAGCATTGGGATTCAATTTTGGACAAGGTTTTACTTCAATAATAAATATTGCTAAGCAATCGACCCGTGATTTAACTAGAATCCAAGGTAAGGAAACATTTCTTACCTTCTAGGGAGCAAAGGGCCTCTTTACATCGACATCGAGCAATTTGAGCGATAGGAGCCTGAGCTGTGGTACCGTCTGGACAGATCAACGTTATCAACGTGACAGATTCCACATCACCATGACAACAGCTGCAATCCTGTTGGATGTAAGGCTCGAGGAGGACAGTGTGTGATCGTGACCGACAGTGCCCATCACATGATGCAACACTGACATTGTGAGCAATACAGCCGAGCGAGTTGGTTACTGTCTGGCTTTCATGGATTAAGCTGCAAGACTCTGGCTCTGAAAAATTCAAACAGGGAGGCAAGTGTCACTGCTTCAAAACAGCAATTGTTGCTTGTTAAATGACACCTTCCACTAATGTAAAAATACACGTTTAGAAATATGCATCATTGGCAACTTCAATTATAAATTATATATGTTGCAATTGAAAGTCCAACCTGACAAGACACTTGCGCTAACAGTGACTAAAAAGTTGAACTCAAAGCCACCATCTTACCCGAAACTTTGCGACAAACTGGACAGCACTGACTATCGTCAAAGACTGGTGCAAGCCCCTGCAGGAATTAAAATTACATTTTAGCGTTAACCAATAAAAAAAAGTAATGTCAGATGACTGATGCAGGATTCAGACTAGCAAGTTGTCCAAACACTGTGCCAACATTCTAACAATTCTGGGGAATGACCAATGGGCAAACTGTCATCTTCTTATTGACTGAAGATGCTTCAACAGCGATTTAAGAAACTGATTAGGTCATAAACGGACCTCAAGGTACAAATTTCCTTGGTGATTTTGCCACTTCAGCAATACAATATTTGCTCCACTCTACCATTAGGGTATAGGCAATATATGGTATGTGGTTTTCCAAGAAAATGTGACAAATGTTTTGTGGCATGAGGTGCATGCATGGTTCAAAAAAGTCATGACAACATGGGCAATTTAAGCATTTTAATGATTTACTCACAGCAGGGCAGCTGACCGGTTGGCAGTCACTTTTGCAAACCATCTCTCCATTGACACAACTGCAGATGGTACACTCATCCTTCATCCACACATCGTCATGGCGACGCATCACACCATTCTTATCCCAACATTCGCACTCTTTGGGCAAGACACACTTGCCAGAACTATTGTGATAATAGCCAGGTAAGCAGGTGCATGATTCCTGAAGAGCATCACTGCAGGTGACAGGCTCTGAAGTTGCAATTAGGGTGCCATGAAGATCATGGCAGGTTGAGGAGCAGTTCGTGGTTTGATAGTTCCAGAATTCATTGTCACCGCAAGCTACAACAAAACACAAAGGGAAAATCACAGAATGAACCTGACGACTTTCACAGCTTTCATTATTTGAAAATCCTTCCAAACCCCAAGATCTTAAGAAGGGTCTTCACTCACAACTTTGCAAAACATGATTTGAAGTCAAATGATCAAAGACAATAGGGTAATAATTTCTGATCCTCGGTACACATACTGCACAAACATTTGCTCCAAAAAGTAAACGCAAAACAACAGACTGATATGCAGACATTTCTAATCCAACTCACGGCAATCTTCAAGATCGCAAGCTGCATATTCAACATTATCCCCTTCACACTGCATCCCACCGTGTGATGCCTGGGGATTATTGGGGAATCTCCGTCGGAACTTGCCACTATCTCCTCGACCACAAGTTGCTGAACATTCAGACCATTCAGACCATTCACTCCAACCACAGTCCACTGAATAAACAGGGAATACAATGACAGATTGAACTTATCACTGAAAATATCAAAAGAAAAGTAAAGTCATTTTACAACTAGCTATGGTGAGGGCCACCAATTAGTCCACCTGCTAACTGGTAGAGCTGTTCACTCTTTTGATCTATAACTAGAATGGCAAAGCCGCCATGGCTTGCTGCTTGATATGAAGTTGAATTTCTTTCCTGTAATAACAGGAAAGATTGAGACATCCAAGTTTAATATGGTTACTAAATTAAACAAGAAAATACTAACCAAGATTCATCAAAATTTTCACAAGATTGGTTGATACACGAGTGCAATACAGATGTATAAGATATTTTATCGACCTTAACAATAAAATTCATTATACTCTAGGAGAAAAACCTAGTCAGTGCTGTGTGCAGACTGTGTGTTAAAAGGCGCCTGTCATTTGAAAGTAAATCAACAAAGACTACCAACAAGAGAGATACAGGTACAAAGGTGTCACAGTTCTTTACAGGAGAGAAGAATGCCTATTGAGTGTGGGTCCAGTACAGTCAGACTAGACCTAGATGATTTATAAGCAGTGCATTTGTGAGTTTGATGGATGGTGCATAATAAAAATTCCTCTAAAGTACAGTTCTGCACTTTGTATCATCGTATCCTCTACAATTTTACCCCTATCATCCATACCCCATCATCCCATATCTACCGTGTCTACTTTGACTCCACCCCTTATCCCATCTATCTCCAATCCTACATCCACCTTATCTTTCCATCCATTTCCTACTCTGCCCCCTCCCCGTCATTCCCTTCACTTCTTACTCTGGCTGTCTCATCATCCCACTAATCCAGCGCAGCCGTTACGCCAACCTTATCCAGCATATCATCCACTTTCTACATACCTGTACTTTGTCCCCATAAGCCTCCTCCTACAGGTACCCCTCCCCCAACAAACATCCTAATTTATCACTTGGAGTCCCCCCATCCCTTACATTTTCCCCTCATACTGTACATGTACATTTGTATGTGTCTAAACACTGTCTATACATACATACATGTACATTATAGGAGTGCTCAGTACATATGTACTGTAGGTACTACAATGTAAGTACACAATACAACTCAAAACATTAACATTCAACTTTTATAATTTTTCATTAAATTCGTAAGTTTCTAAGCATTAATGCCATACGAGACTATTTAAATACTGATGGAATTATAAAAGGAAGCAAACAAGCACTCATAACGGCACATTTTAACACTTACGGACCTGCAAAACTTTAACATTTGAGGATGGCCGGACGGATGGACGGACGGATGGACAGACAGAAGACGGAAATCGGTATTACATAGTCTTGCACTTGCTTCGCAGCTCGCCAAAAATCAAATCCTACTATGGGTAGCTGTTGCTGGTCACACTGAGAATATATCAAAGGAAACTAAAGCAAAGCCTACCTTTACAATCCAAGTCAGTACACACAAATGAGCCGCTGCTACAAGTACTGTCGGGTTGGAAAAAAAAAGATAAAGTTTGATTAGCTGTGCCCATACAACACTGTTATGTAAACTCTATGCACGAATCTCTGGTCTCTTTTCATGCTTCATTGATTGAAACAAAGTAACAAAGCTTTAATAACATGAGTTCCTGCACAGCTAAGAGTGCGGTAATGGACCTCTGTAATGCAAACAATCCAGGTTCGAATTTTGAGTCAAATGCTGTGCCCAAACACTGACACTTACCAATTGTTGCATTGATGATAAATGGTTGCCCCTGGCTGATACTGAACGGAGCCATCAGTAAGTTGAAAGGAGCCGATATTATCGGGAATGACAATCTTGTCAGATTCAAGACCTAAGATGAATAGATCTAAGACACAGCGACATTCAGGCTGATACACACACTGGACATCTTGTAAAACCTACCAAGGATGAAATGAAACAATATAATAAATTGTTATCGGATGCAAAAACCCATGGTAATTCATGCCAACATACACTAAATAACTTTTATTTTTGTAAACTTTTTACATGTAAAATAAGCTTAAAAAACAGGAAAGAAGGGCAGCGAATTTGTCCTTTAACCACCATTATGTGACGAATACAAGAATACAAGTTATTGGCTATTCAATGAAACTTGTGATGACCTGTTTGAAAACCACTGCTTCACAGTGATCCAACATAGAATGATTTACCATATTTTCTGGGCAATGGCAGCCTTTGGTACAGTTCTCAACTATGCACACAGCCCCATTCTGCAGATCAGCACAGTTACTTGGACATCGATTGGCACATTCATCTTCAGCCAAGCCTTCCTCACAGACTAATAAAGGAACAACAGAATATTCTAATTTTCAATGATGCCTGAGGAATGTGAGCTTGGAGAAAAACTGCAGAAGAGACAAAAATAATGGGCAATATTCACAGTAACCGATTCATTTTCACCACGGTAACTCACCTGTGCAAGGTTCCACTCCACAATGTTTCATCTCTACCAATGCCACTTGGCATTTCTCCCCTCCATACTGAGCAGGCACGGTGATATTACGATACCTTTTTGATGTACCACCATCACATGTGGCTGAGCAAGAACTCCAGTCCGACCATTCGTCTGTCTGACAATCAACTACACAAACAGTGACAAAAATGTTAGAACGTCACTAGATTCCAGGCAATTTCCAGTACTCATCGAGAAGTAGAGCACACAGGGTGTTCTACTAGGAGCAGATCTAGTGAAAGGATAATTTGAAAGTTGTGTTCTTTTCATCTTCTCACTTGTCGGTATCCTGACAGGAAGGTATACACTCCTAACATGTCTCACGGACAATGCTTACCAGGACATGGATCTACATTACAATCCATCTGCTCTGTATCTACTCCTGGGCATTCTTTGCCTCCATAGGCAGTTGCTGGGCAGTCACAAACACGAGAGCGTTCCTTGGAGCCAACATCACAATCTTTGCTACAATTACTCCATGATGACCAACTGCACCACCCGCCATCAACTAGAAGAAGAAAAAGTCTCACAATTAATGCTACATGAGATGAGAAATTTACTTCTGTTTTTACCTTTATGACTTACAAATACAATACGAATCTGAAGAAGTGGTTTCAATTTCAATCTTTAAAAAGAACTTTGTAATCCATCATTGCCTTTCACAGGAAACGTGCAAAGATTTACAATGGTCCTTTCTTAAATTAGGAAATCAAGTTAAAACTTCAAAGGGGGATTAACAAAAATGGTGGCTTGAAAATTACGGCACCTGACACAGCCTGTACGTTTTGATTTGTGCACTCTGGAGTAGAGGCGGAGGCAAATTTCAATGAACATTTCACATATGTGCGATGTGTTTATGTGTATGTGTGAGTCACACTCACCAGGACATTGGTCTGTATTGCACTCTTCAACCTCCATCCCATCACCTTCGCACACAGCTCCTCCATTACTTGGAGGTGGCAATGAACAAGATCGTGATCGTACCGTAATTCCGCCATTGCATGTTGCATTACATATAGACCATGGAGACCATGTTGACCAACCACCGTCGCATACATTCTCGGTACAATTGAGGACACTGTTCACGCATGTGCTGATGCAAAATGTAAATTACAGATGTTACGGTTACCAACTGAAAACCTGACATCATTTCTTGAGGACAATGTTTCATTTGGAATTAAGAAACAAATTTGGCTTTCGACTTGCAACGATTCAGAAAGATTCTTGCGAAACGCCAAACTTATTAACCAGCAAAACTGAGAAGCTATCATACACTAGGCTAAACCAGGCTAATTTTGTATTTGAACTTCTTCTGGACATGCCTGATACTTTCAGGCATATTTTAATAGAATTCCAAGTTGAATTGGGCGATCCATTTTCTTACCAAGTATTGCACATATCCCGAGTCACAATTTCCCCATCAGCATACGTCTCATTGCCATATATACAACCTGAAGGGCAATCTTCAACGTTACAGTTTTGTTCCTCCTGATTGGATCCGTAGCATTCAAGACCTCCATTAGATGCTGCTGGATTGTTGGGTGATCTAGCAACAAAACCAATTCAATGCAAAAATGATTAGCAGAAAAGATTGATACCCTGCCACAGAATGTTTTATAGGGCTCAAAATCTGCAATTTGCCTCAAGGTTAAACATGTTAAACTGACTTCTATAGTTTCATACCATTATCACTTGAAAAATTTCAATCAAAATCTGCCTTTCAAAGTTTACCTGAATCTGAGTTGAGAGCCTGTTCCGCATGTTTTCGAGCAGTCTGTCCATTTCGTCCATGCAGTCCAACTACAATCCACAGCACATGGGATCTCAACACAAGTGTAACGACCATTTAAACAAGTGCTGTAACAGAGATAACAAAACAAATATTGTTACAGGGAATGTTGCCTTCAAGATGTCATTACCCAAGGTTGGCAGGCTTACATTTATCCCCGGGTTCGTCTCACCACTCTTATTTCTCAAAGTCACTATTCAATACATCTTATGATGAGAGGGGGAAATCCCATAATGGGCACAAGTCCAAATATAATTTGCATGGAAGGGCACAATGAGCAATAGATGAATTACCAAATTGTAAATTAAAGAATTTAAGTTGGTAAAATATACCAATTGCGGCAGTCTTCTACTGTAAAAGAGCCAGGGGCATGTCTGTGCCCTGACTCATCCCAGCAATCACAATCCCTCTGCAAGATACACTCCCCATCCTGCTCCAACATATCGTCAGGACACCGGCAACCAGGCTCACATGCTTCCTCAATACAGAGTGACCCAAGCTGCAGGTCAGCACAGGTCAAAGGGCAACGAGTTGCACAGTCAGGGTCATAGACACGGCCACCTTCACAATAAGTACCTGAATTCCAAACAAAGTGGATATGTAATTGTTACTAAAAAATGAAGAGAATTTAATCTCTAGGTTTAAGTTAATGGTTTAAGTTTTTAAATTGCTTTTCAAAGTAAAAGGCCTAATTACTATGAACAAAATGAACTGGCCTACATGTAATAGTTAATGTGATATTCAATATGATCAATAACTTTACATCTCCGTGAAATAATTTACCTGTGATTCCATGCAACCCTCATCTGGAAAATTGCACAGGTGACAGCATTTTTACTATTTGATCTACTTTGTACCAGCTTTCTTACCACATTTGTTGGGGTTGCAAACTTTGGTTTCCAGTGGAACCCCTTCACAATCTTTACCACCATTCTTAGGGGGTGGGTTACTGCAGTTGCGATATCTAAATGAGGTACCACCGTTACAGGTCTTGTCACAGTCAGCCCAGGCACTCCAAGAGGTCCAGTTACCATCAGCTACAATTAATTACAAACATTAAAACTGGTTTTTCATGACATGATTTGAGAGAAATTCACTTTCAGAAGTTGCAGTTGTCGTAAAATTCATAGTGAGGCTTACATCAAGTTAGGAAAAAAGCAGGACTCGATTAAGAAGGTTCAATATACAGTCGAACACTGAGAGGAAGAGCATAGTTAACACAATGCCATGTTTATATCAACGTCAGTTTTAAGTCCAAATCTTTGTTTTTCTTTGTTTTCCATTACTGATAATGAGGGGTACCTGTCTTAACAAGGTAATCTGCAAAATTTCGAAAACCCCAACACCAAAGGTTAGGTTTATGAGGTGTGAAAAGAAACTTACTAGGGCAAGGATTTACGTTGCAAAATTCGTCCTGATGAGTCTCTGTGCTATTACACTCAGCACCGCCATTCGGTGACCGGACATGAGAACGGTCGCGTGACCTCTGACCTATGCCGCATATTAACGAGCAGGGTGTCCACTCTGTCCATGGATTCATAGTGCAGTCAACGGGTTCTGTATTGAAATTGTCAAATGTTATACTCTGTTGAGTAATACCAGAGATACATAGTAATCAAAGGCTTCTACTAAAAACTTACCAGATGATGTAATGGGTATTGAGACTTCTAGAGTAGTGCTAGTGGCAGGTTCCTGTGTTACCTCATTGGGTGGTGATGTCCATGATACAAGTGTAGTCCTATTGCCTGTAATGTGCATGAAAAAACCAAAATGACAACATTAGTAAGTGATATCATCAGTGGTATCAACCTTCATCTGAAATACTATCAATATAAGAATTAATAAATTAACCATTTGTAATTTTTCAATATGATAATTATATAATTTTAATCTTTAATATGACAACTAGAAGTGGTATTGAAAAGAAGTATATAAATTAATGCATAAACAGCATAAGACTCACCACACACATGTTCATCAGAGCAATCCGAACAATCACACTCCTCATCACATACATTCTGGCCAGACACACAAGAACCATCCCTACAGGTGAACTGACCACTGTAACAGGTGCTAACAGTGCGCGTTGTCACTTGTGGCATATGTGGAGTAGTTAACTTTGGCACACTGGGTGTGGTCAAGGATGGCAAATGTTCAGTGGTTACCATTTGTACATAAGTTGTTGACTGCGGTGGCACATATGCAGTGGTCACCTCTGGGATATAGGGTGTCTTCACCTCTGTTACATGAAGTGTGGTCACTGGGGGTTTATATGGAGTGGTCAGCTTCATCAGATGAGGTGTGGTCACTGGTGATGTATAAGGAGTCCTCACTTCTGGTACATAAGGTGTGGTCGCTGGTGGCATGGATAGAGTGGTTGCCTCCTGCAAAAAAGGTGTTGTCACTGGTGGCACATATGGATTGGTCACTTCTGGTACATGAGGTATGGTCCCTGGTGGCACATATGGATTGGTCACTTCTGGCACAACAGGTGTGGTCGCTGGTGGCACATATGGATTGGTCACTTCTGGTACATAAGGCGTGGTCGCTGGTGGCACAAATGGAGTGGTCAATTCTGGTACATATGGTGTGGTCGCCGGTGGCACGTATGGAGTGGATACCTCCCTCATATGAGGTGTAGTCACTTCAGGTGTGGTTATTGGTGGTATATATGGTGTTGTCATTGGTGCTACATAAGGAGTGGTCACCTCTGGCACATATGGGGAGGTCTTTGGTTGCAGATATGGTGTTGTTACAGATGGAATATTTGCGGTAGATGACTTTAACATTTGCAGTGTTGAAAAGTATGGAGGGAGATATGTTGCAATTTCAGTTGGCGGATGTACAGGTTTCAATTCTGTAAAACTGTTTGTAGCCTGAGAAATTGGGGATGTTTGAAGATAGGTTGGGGCGGTTGGAGACGGAACAGGCTGTGACGAATACCTCCGCACTGTTGTCTGTTCAAGGGGTATAGGTGTTGAAGTCCCAGGGACATTTACAGTTGTGTGAGGTAATTTGGAAGAGGATATAGGTTGATGAGGTGTTGCTTGTGTAGTTGTTTCGTGGGAATATGCTGTGGTCACTGGAGCCAGATATGGAGTAGTTACCTCAGGCACAAAAGGTTTGGTTACCTCTTGCGTGTAAGGTGTGGTTGCTGGTGGCACATACCGAGTGGATACCTCATTAACATAAGACGTGGTCACTTCTGGCACATAAGCTGTAGTCACTGGTGACACGTGTGGAGTGGTCACCTTCTTAATATAAGGTGTGCTCACTGGTGGTGAATGAGGTTCAGTCACTTCTGGCACAAAAGGTGTGGTTATCTCCTTAACATAAGGTGTGGTCACTTTTGGCACATAGGAAGTGGTTACCTCCTTAATATAAGGTGTAGTAACTTCTTGCAGATGAGGTGTTGTTATTGGTGGTTTATATGGTGTTGTCATTGGTGCCACGTAGGGGGTGGTCACTTCTGGTATGTATGGGGTGGTCTTTTGCTGGAGATATGGTGTTGTTACAAATGGAATATTTGCGGTAGATGACTTTAACATTTGCAGTGTTGAAAAGTATGGAGGGAGATATGTTGCAATTTCAGTTGGCGGATGTACAGGTTTCAATTCTGTAAAACTGTTTGTAGCCTGAGAAATTGGGGATGTTTGAAGATAGGTTGGGGCGGTTGGAGACAAACTAGGCTGTGCTGAATGTCTCTGCACTGTTGTCTGTTCAAGGGGTATAGGTGTTGAAGTCCCGGGAACAACATGTACACTTGTAAAGGGTGTTTTGGAGGAGGTTACAGGTTGCTGAGATGTTACTCTTGTACTTGTTTGGTGAGAATATGCTGTGGACACTGGAGTTTGATATGGTATAGTTACCTCAGGCATAAAAGGTTTGGTTACCTCTGGTATGTAAGGTGTGCTTACTTTTGGCACGTAAGCTGTGGTCGATGGGGACATGTATGGAGTGGATACCTCCTTAACAGAAGGTGTGGTCACTTCTGGTACGTATGGGGTGGTTATCTTCTTAACATATGATGTGGACGCTTCCGGTACATGAGCTGTGGACACTGGTGGCACATATGTAGTACTAGTTACCTCCTTATTATAAGATGTGGTCACCTCTGGCACATATGCAGTGGTTAGCTCCTTAACAGAAGGCATAGTACCTTCTTGCACATAAGGTGTGGTCACTTCTGGCACATGAGTTGTGGTCACTGGTGGCACATATAGAGTAGTTACCTCCTTATTATAAGGTGTGGTCACTTCTGGCACATATGAAGTGGTTAGCTCCTTAAAAGAAAGTGTGGTAACTTCTGACATATGAGGTGTGGTCACTTCTGGCACGTATGGAGGGGTTACCTCCTCAACATATGGTGTGGTCACTTCTGGCACATGAGCTGTGGTCATTGGAGTAGTTACCTCCTTATTATAAGATGTGGTCACTTCTGGCACGTATGAGGTGGTCAGCTCCTTAACATATGGTGTGGTCACTTCTGGCACGTATGGAGGGGTTACCTCCTTAACAT